ACTTGGTGCTGGGGTGGCCTGTGCTCAGTCCCAGTGTCACTTGGTGCTGGGGTGGCCTGTGTTCGATCCCAGTGTCACTTGGTGCTGGGGTGGCCAGTGTTCGATCCCAGTGTCACTTGGTGCTGGGGCGGCCTGTGTTTGATCCCAGTGTCACTTGGTGCTGGGGTGGCCAGTGTTCGATCCCAGTGTCACTTGGTGCTGGGGTGGCCTGTGCTCAGTCCCAGTGTCACTTGGTGCTGGGGTGGCCAGTGTTCGATCCCAGTGTCACTTGGTGCTGGGGCGGCCTGTGTTCGATCCCAGTGTCACTTGGTGCTGGGGTGGCCAGTGTTCGATCCCAGTGTCACTTGGTGCTGGGGTGGCCTGTGTTCGATCCCAGTGTCACTTGGTGCTGGGGTGGCCTGTGTTCGATCCCAGTGTCACTTGGTGCTGGGGTGGCCTGTGTTCAGTCCCGCAGCCCTAACCTGCCCACTTGCTTCTGCAGGGTGAAATCAGAGCTACAGCTTTCAACGAGCAAGTGGACAAGTTCTTTCCCCTTATTGAAGTGAACAAGGTATGGCTGTGCTGACTTTAGAACTGACACGCCCCGGAGTGGAGGCAGATGAGAAGACTCTGGCCCAGGGGAGGGGTGTGTGGTGACAGACCAGGGGTTTCTGTCCAATGTGATGGCAGTCTCAAATTCTGTGACGTGGCCTCCTGCGCAGGTGTATTATTTCTCGAAAGGCACTCTGAAGATTGCTAACAAACAGTTCACAGCTGTTAAAAATGACTACGAGATGACCTTCAATAACGAGACTTCCGTCATGCCCTGTGAAGACGACCGTCATTTACCTACGGTTCAGTTTGATTTCACGGGGATCGATGACCTCGAGAGCAAGTCGAAAGACTCACTCGTAGGTAAGCTCATGCATGGGAAGGAGGAGCAGGGAGGACTCGCTTTCTTTGCACCGTACGGGGCGGTGTCAGGACTTCAGTGCTTGCCCTTCACCCTTTGCTGGCGTCAGAGTGGGAGGCTTGACCGCCTCCTGCTCACACGCGCCTGTGTTTTAGACATCATCGGGATCTGCAAGAGCTACGAAGATGCCACTAAAATCACAGTGAGGTCTAACAACAGAGAGGTTGCCAAGAGGAATATCTACCTGATGGACACATCTGGGAAGGTGGTGACTGCCACGCTGTGGGGGGAAGATGTAAGTGCTAGGATGGGGCGGTCAGCGCACACAGGAGGAGCTCCTGGGGGAGAGGCGGTCTTGTCCT